CCATCCATCCATCCATCCATCCATCCATCCATCCATCCATCCATCCATCCATCATTTCTTGCAGGTGTTTCACTATTCATTTCATGTTTCTTCTTTTCTTCTATGGAACCAAACCCAATAAAACAGACTGATGTTTGCTCTTCTAAAGGGCAGAGAAGGTAGAAAGGTTTGAGGGGTATGAACACTTTCCAAGTTGTTTTATCTGAACTTCACTCTCAGAAAAGCAGATCTTCAGGTCAGCATCTGTTTCTGTTATTTTCTGTTATTTTTTATCCCCTCCTTATAAATCCAAATATCAAACTGCAGATGAATCAGTGAGAGAAAATGGAGGCAGCTTTCTGCTTCGTATCTGTTACCTGGAACGAAGCTTCCCTGGACCACATCTTTATAAGCCCACCAGCTGCCGTCCAGCCTGGAGGTGATTGGCTGAGCTGGAGAGACAGAGCAGAGAGCAGGTCAGCTTATGGGGGGGGCAACAGTCCGTCATTTCAAAGCTGGATGGCAAAGCGAGGACAGAAGAACAGCAGGAAACAGAAAACATGGAATCAGTTTACGCAATAATAACTTTAAAGGTATTTTGGCCTTCTAGGCCTCCATAGCAGATGAGCTCTGAGGTTTAAATCGAGGAGCCAGACTCACATGTTGTTTGTTGAAAAAGGCCTGTCAGCCATGATGGCTCCTGGGCTTTAAAACAGACGGGGGGGAGGCATTCAAAATCCCCTGTTTTCATTTTTTTATATTATAATACATATTTTCATAAATTAGGTTTTAGAGTGATGAATATAAAACAAATATTTAGTTTACATGTGGAAGTAGTCATTATTATTATTTAAAAAATTATTTTAAGGTTTTTCTGATTTCACTCCAACGTTCCAAGGACCCGTTAGAGACCCTGGGCGGCCCCCCCAGTTGGCCACGGCCCTCATTTTTAAAAACCACTGATCCAGGACTTCACACTGTGGATCTCAGCAGTGATTTCACTGATTTCACTGATTTCACTGATTTCACTGATTTCACACTAACACTGTAAAAAAAAAATGTAAATCTAAATAAGTCAATTTTTCTTAAAATAAGTGCATTTTTCATGAATTAATCAGGAAAGTGAGACACCTAAACAATGGAATGAGGATATTCACATTTACAATAAGAAAAACAATTGCATTGTCTAATTTTAAGAGCATATCATCTAATTATCTTATTTTAAGAGTAGAAATACTCATTCCAGCTCTCTTTAAGGGTAAATAAACTTAATTTAAGACACTTTTAATCATTTTTAGATAATTATTGCAGTGAACCATGTGTGAATAAAGACATGAGAGCGGAGCGTGACGTTTTCACTCCCAGACAGAAAGGATTGGAATTCAGAGCAGAGGGAAGGAATCCCGTCGGATCCTCATGGATGGATTATCAACAGATTCCTCCAAAGGTTTCAGCTCCAAATCAGCTTCAATGCTCAGGAAACCAGGTTTATTTGGCCTTTTTATGCTGCTGTCATTTTATAAGGTCCAGCTGTTCTTCTCAAATCTTGATCTGATCTGGTTTCCATGGTGACCTCTCATGGCAGGACAGAGAGACGGTCCGGGTCTCACCGTCTCCTATGGTGCAGAAACATCAGTGAGTTATTAAAAACTAAATGAAGGTTGTTGCTTCATTAGAAGTTAGAAAAGGAGCACTGACAGCCATGAGCATTGTTTATTTATGTTCTAATAAATAGAACATAAATAAACAATGGGGGGGGGGATGGTCCACCTGTTGTTGATAGAAACGTTTGCTTATATTTACACACTCAAGTTTGTATTTTTTATAGAAAATTATTGTG